GAGAACATAGAGAGCGATATTATTAACATTTAAACATTTCATTTTTTTTTTTTATGTATAACGCACACATTTAAAACTAAAAACATCATTTAACATACATTTAAAAAAACATAATTAAATATGAAACAAACAGCCGAACTGCGAAGGCTAAAAAGTGCGCGCGAACAAGGAGCCGCTACAGACGAACGAAAAACAAGAAGAGAGTTGAGTAGAGAGAGGGAGCGGCGGCTTTTAAAGAGCGCTCGCTGCACAAATCGCCAACGCTGCGGTCATTAGAAACAACAAAAATAACTACATATATCAAAGAACTAAAAAATAAAAACGGCAATAAGTTTTCGTAGAGCTTTCGATGAGCTTTTGATGAGCTTTCGATGAGCTTTCGATGAGCTTTCAATGAATTCATGAATGAACTTCAAAATCGTTATAAACAAATTCTTTAAAACAAAAACATGAGCCAGCATGAGCTGGCATTTCGAGGCTTAGCTGGTTGTCACACGTTAAATTTTTTTTCGCTTTCACGTTGCTTAATAAGCAGTAATCAGTAATTAGTTAATTAATAATAAAAAATTAGCTTTTTCATAAGCATATACATACATAGATAAAAAATCGTAGCGTATGTTAGTAATAGTACGAGTAACAACAACGAAGAGAATTTGCAAACAAAACGTCACCGACTTTACTGTTAGCTAGTTAGTTTAAAGTGCATAAAAAACTTCTACAAAATTTCGTAAATATTTGCTAAACTTACAACACTGCCACACGCTACTCAATGGATAATTCTCAATCTCATTCTTATAAACCTAAACTCCAATTCTTTTCTTCACTTTTATCATTAATTACTTTTCACATCGGCATTTGGGCTTCACCTTCACCTTCACTTCTTCTAGTAAATATAAACAAAAAATGCTTTGGATCCGTTTGCTTAGTTTCGCACACTTGCTCTATTGATTTGCTTCTTCACGCTTAGTGCGATGGTGCACCATACGATGAGCTAGGCGCTGAAGGTGCCGATGGCGCTGCTGGTGCCCCATAATCGCCCGATGGTGGTGGCGAAATGCTGTTCGGATATGGACCGGTCTCTTCCTTTTGTGTCTTGTAGCGAATGAAGTAAACTTCTGGTTTGCTGGGCTGCGTAGGCGCTGGTGTGGGTATGACAATTTCGGGCTGCTCTTCGGGTTTCTTCACCAACACATAAACCAGTGTCTTCTCTTCGTTTTGTGGGAAGACCGGAATCACTGGCGCTGTTGGGGCGGGTGGTGATGGCGCCTTAATGAAGACGATTTTGTAGTGCTTCTGTGGTGGGGGGAAGACAATGGGTTTTCTGTGTCGGAATGAAAGAGGAGTAGAGAGAAAAAACATTTTGTGATTACTCATATGACATTTTTCTTGAGAACATATTGTAATATAAAATTAGTTTGAAATTGGTAAATAAAGAGAATATTCTTCGAACCGTAGGTTCTTATTCTTAGTTTTTTTTATATAAAGTCATTCAACTCTAGATTTAGTTTTGGGGAGCCCTATTATGCAAAATGAATATGTATATAGAAAGCTTGAAAAAGCTCTACACCATTTTATATCTGGAGTGCATCCACAGCTTAACAAGTATGTATATACTTTTTAGAGCAGTCATGCCCAACGCTGGCAGAACTCCATAAGCAAGTGCCCTGCGCTATGCATGCCTGTTTTAGAGGCTCTATGTAGGGCAAAAGCTTCACCCGTCGTCTTAGATTTAGAAACAGCTACAATTTTCTAAATCAGTGTTGCCTATATCAGCTTCTTCCCCGTAAAACGATTGCTCGTGGCTGGTGACTGGTTTATATAAAATGCATAGAAAGCTTAAAAAGCTCTGCGTGCATGCCCTGGGCGCATGTACAACTTTCGTAGGACCAAAACATCCAATCACGCAGTAGAAAAAAATATAAATGCCGTACCTTGTGTCGTATTGACCAGGTTTTTTCAGTAATTTTCCAAATATTACCCAAGTAATTTTTCTATTACTTTTTAAACACTCCTATTGAAACTCATTTTGCTATATTTTTTACCGAATATGAGATTACGTGTTTCATCTGTAGTAGCAGAAATAAGAATATAAAAAAAAAATTTAAAATAATTTTCTTCCCTATTTACTAAAAAAACTTTGGCATTTGCAATGACCAGGTATTATCTTTTGATTTTCTAAATAGGTTTTAAGTACTTTTTCTAGTGCTTTTTTTAAAAAAATAATTTTATTTACTTTTATTCTAATTTATAGTTTATCTCAGTTTTCTCGTTTAATTTGATCTTATGTATTGGTAAAAAATGGTAGCAGAAAATTAAATAAAAAGGGAGTAAGATTGGTAGTAAAAAAATATAAATGCTTAGGCATGCGAATACGCAAGATTTTTCTGTGATTCTCAAAATTTCTTAAGCACTTCGACTACTCTTTTACAACCACTACATTATTTAAATTTTATTGTAGCAGAAAGAAAAGTGAAAAAGTAGTAATAAATAATCCAAAGTAATTTAAGATTCATAGTAGTAGTATCTGAAACTGGACATTCTTTGGTATATGAAGCCACCGATTTTCATAGCGAATTCAAATACAAATCAAAAGTAATTTTTCTGCTCCTCTTTTGAGACGTTTACGTTGTTGCGTTTACTAACAAACCTACTGACAAAAAGTATCAGAAATTAATTAGTAGTACGAATTAACGTAAATAGTAGTAGATGTGAAAGTGAAAATATTAGTGAGAAAGTTAATAAATCTATTCACTCGCTCTCAAAAATATAAGAACTACTTTTCTACTCCTATTTTGAAGTTCGCTTTCTTATGTTACTGGTCCCGCTTGCTAAAAAAAGTATTAAAAATGAATTAGTAGAAATTAAAGCAAATAGTAGTAGATGTAAAAGTGAAAATAGTAGTGGGAAATTTTAGAAATCTACTAATCCGCTCTAACGAAAATGTTATCGCGCTTGATTTTATTCAATTTCCACCAAATTTATACATTAAATCATATTCACCATTTTTCTTTCATATTTATAACGGACTGCAGATGTCGCAAAGTCACCAGAGAACTTAGATAGATAAGAAGGTGCAAATTTTTGGAACGTAAAATTGTTTGGCTGAAAAATAAATCCATGGAATATCACCACAGCGCGATTAACATTTCAAGAAGAGTTAACAGAGAAAAATGTAAATTTCTGTTATGATAATGTTATATTTGTTGCAAGTGTCTGGCTATGTGTTGCTTGGTTGCAGGTGAATGCAGAAACGTATTCATGTATATTTTTTTATAAAATTAAATAAATTAATATAGTTAAATTATATTAAATGTACTTTTATATTAGTTAGAATTGCTGATTTGCATTTCTGCATGACCATTTGTTAAATATAATTTATTCAGTAGTTAATGTTGCTAAAAACTTAAAAAGCATCTGTTCAAGTTCGCTTCTTGTACGAGTATTATTTTATGTAAATAGTAAAAATGCATGTTAGTTACTAAAAATGATAAACTTGGTTTTTTCACATACTCACTTTAAAGATGGACGCATTAACAAAAAAATTTACAAAGCAATGCACTTGTTAACTTCAAAGTTGTTTTTGACTTTTACTGCAATACTCGTAGATATTATTTGTAAATAATAGTTCTGGAGTCAAATGCAAATCCATTTCCCAGGCATGCGCATATGGATACTTGTAGTACATACAGATGCGATCAACTAATTAGCAACGAAATTCAAAATGATATTGTTTACAAATTATGTTTATTTATTTATTTTTAATAATTTCCTTTAAAATATAATTCAATCTGTAACAGAAACCACAATAATAAAAGTTTAAAAGCTTGCACAAATTGCAAAATAATAAATCAAACTTCAAAAAATTGTTATAAAAATTTCAAAATTTTTAATTAGAATATTTAGAAAATTTTCGGGTATGCAGTATTGCTGTCTAAGTACCACGCACATATATACAAATGTACATATGTACAACTCACGGCAGCATACATACACACACATACATAATTACGCGCATATCCAAATACAACAATAACTATTTCATTCATAAACGCATGCGCATATTTCTCAAGGCCAAGTAAATTCATTCATAAAAACAACCGCAGCACATCTCCCCGCAAATTCATCACCAACAAGCGCAACTTTGTCAATCCGACACAAAAATTCTAAAATCTTAAAATGAAGAAATCTCGGCCAGCCAAGTGAAAAGTGGCAATTATTTCTCTATAACCAGTAAAATAAGTTATCTCGAATCTTGGCAATTTTTGGTAATTTTTGACAAAACACTCTATTTCTCTGTTCCATACCAATATTTCAATCATTAACTAGTATTTTAAAGTGTCATTTTAATAAAAATTAAATAAAAGTGTATGTTTTCTGTAGGAAAATACATTATTTTTTTTTAATAAAATCAAAACTTCTAAAATCACAAACATATGTGGTTTTATCGGAAGTTCACAGATGTAACGTGGCAACTTAGCTCGTTTTCACATTTTTCGGTCCGAAATTGTAAAATTTTTGTCCATGACGCGCCACGATTTTTGTACAGGTGGGTCAATGTGCCTTGAACACCATTTACATATATACAAAAAAATTATTTTATTTATTTTTTAATATTAAAAATTTCTATACTTCAAAGCGTTTATAAAAGTATATTTACATACATATATGCACGGACGATTTTTAATATTTTTCATCCGTAAGCAAATCTTCAGTACCATAAAAGATTCAAACACATCAAAGTACAACCAATGCAATGTCCAAGCTAGTGCTACTCCACTGTACATGTGTATATGAATGTATGCATGTATGCGTTTAAAAAATGTCAATTCCAGTTGGTTTTTAACCCATTTTAGCGGACATAGTTTTTTTGGTTTCAGCTGGTTCCAACTGTTAATGAAGCACAATTTTTATGGTTAATCTTGATGAAAGTTACATGTACCGTCGAGAACATGGTTACATGCAGAATTTTAAATTAATTAGTATTCTTCTCCATATAAAATGTACGAGTATGGCTTTATTAAATGTAAACTTATGCGAAAACCTAAATATTTCGTCAACCAAGGGTTAATTTTGGTGGCGTCGTGGCAATTCGCAGAAATTTATTAATTTGTCTGTGGTTGGTGGACGGCGAGGGGAAGACGAAAGCAGAACAATCGTACATATTTATGCACATATTTACATTTATAAATGCACACATATTTATGCGTTTGTCTTCTTGGACGAATGAAAAATTTCATATATGCATTTTTTTTTTTTTTTAATTGTCATATCCATATTCGATTTTAAATTTTACTATTAGCTTTGTTTAAAATAATATAAATGGATATGTAGGTACAAACGCATGTATAATTTCACATAATCGCTCAAATTTGCCAAAAGTTACTGAAAGCTTTATTGTAAATATTTTCACTAAAATATTAGTTATTGGAATTAAAATTTTATGCGAATCCAATTTTTATTCCCATTTTTAGAAAGCGCAAGTATGTACATATATGTTCGTGCCACAAAAATTATTTAATAAGTAGTTAATTTTAAACACAAATATGTATGTACACTGGCAAAGTGAGTGCATCCTGTTTTTTGTTTAATAATTGCAATGTCTTTTAAGTTAATTTTTTTTTGTTATTTTCGACGGGAATTGCGGTTTTATGCATATAGCAAGTGCAATTTGTAAAAAATAGCGCTATTTTTTTTTTATTTGTTTGCAAACAGTCATGCGCATTTTATTCTACAAGAAATTCACTTTTATTTGGTAAAAAGTGCAAAAAGCCGTCAGCAATAAATAATCATTAAAAATCAACCGGATTTTTTAGCCGCTTAAAACTTGATCTTGTTCCACTAGAATTGAAAAACCGATCTATCTGCGTACTCAAAATTTTTCTAAAAATTCAGTTAAACAGGTCAAAATTTAGACGACAATTCGTTGAATTTTTCTATGTTCTGTGTAAAGTTTGAAAGTTTGACTTATGTAGTTTTAATTAAAGCATGAACCACATTTTTATAAAAAGATAATAAAAAAAAATTAATTGAAAAACATTGCAAATATTAAGCAAAAAACACCATGCACTCACTTTTGATTGCCAGTCTATGTATGCATGTACATATGTGTGTAAACTTTATGCCAAACTATCATTATTTTAAATTGTATTTGCATCTTCATAAAAGGAGAACAAGATAAAAAATTTAACAAAAATTACAAATTAATGAAAATTATGTGAAGATTTACCATATTTTCGTTTATTTGCTCGCAAAGAACATCACATTTCATGTTGCTCAACATTGTATTATGTTATCAACATTAAATTCAACATAATTTCTACATTCCGACTTGAACTTTTCTAACGCTGTTAATTTTTCGTCCGCGAATAGTTTCCACTTTCAATTTGCACCTATCCTCTATCTATCTAAGTTCTCTGGTAGAACGTTCTCTGCTCTAAGGCCAATGATAATGTGACGGCTAGTGGTAATTGTAATGGTAATGGTATTGGTAATGATAATGGCCATGATAACGGAAATAGTAATGGTAATTGTAATGTTAAAGATAAAGATAAATGATAGTGGCATTGGTAAGCGTAATCGTATTGTTGTAATGGTAATAATAGTGGTAATGGTAATGCAAATAGTAGTCATGGTAATGGTGTGGTGTGGGTACTAATCGTGGTAATCAGGGCTATCACAGAATCCATCGTAGCTTTGATTTTCGTGAAATCTACGAAAGTGCTATCACAGAATCCGAATAGCTACGAACGTAAATTCGAAATTCGTAGAGAGCCTTCATTGAATCCGTTCGTAATGAAGATTCGTACAGATACTCTACGACGAGATTATGCTGTCGGAACAAAATTTAAAATCACTCAATCTTAAAAATAGTAGAAGAAAGCTGCATTATTTTTAATATTAAATATTTATTATACTCCAAATTCGTTATAGTTTGAAATAATTCCATATATTTGTGTAAACGTAGACGTAAAATACCAATGCTATACATACATACACGCATTCATCTGCTAGACGCTATTTAATGAATTAATATTTTGCACGAATCGAGGAAATAATAGTTTAGCAACAATTTATTAGGAAATAAACCTAATTACTTTAATATCATAGAAACTTATTTAAAAAAAAAAAAATTTTCTATTTAAAATAATAAAATCTAAGCTAAAATAAACTAAAAAAAAATGTTTATTAAAAAAATAAACAAAAATTAAATAAAAAAAGAAAAAAAATCTCCAGTGCCCCACGACTCGCACTCGAACTCAGCTCTCTCAATTGGCAGTCTACTGCTTTGCACACTCAGCCATTGCGCCTGATTGGGCACCCTGAGCAAAATGGCATACATAAATGTCTGTTGTTTCCTTTGCACTAACTGATTTCGAATCAGCATTCGAAGCTGGCAACGATATTTTCGAGTTCACTCGGATTCAGTGATAGCAATTTTTTCGTATTCATAGCGGGCATTCGGATTCGTAGATTTTCTACGATGGATTCCGTGATAGCTCTGAATAGTGATGGCGTTGGTTGTGGTAATGAGGAGGTTTGTTTCCTTTCAACAACAATATAAGTATTTTCCATCAAAATGCATACCTTCCACTAATCTTTCGATTTCGCGCCGACTTTGTACGCTGCAACATGTTTCCGCTTATTTTTCAGTCCTTTTCAAAGTCATCTAACTTACTGTAGGCACTCAATAGCAAAGAGCGTTGCGCCGCGATCTCCATAAAATGATGGACTATATTGTTCTAATTTATGGCATCAAAATCGTCGCTGAGCTGCAATAAAAAAAAAGAAGAGTGTTAAAAAAAAAATTCTTTAGTGGAATGTCAATTCACAAGAATCTGGAATTTGATAAAAGATAAGAGCAATGCTAAACAAGCAGCAAATGTGTTATATATGTATGTATATATACAGACATAGGTACATACATATTTATGACCAAGGCATAAGCGAACAGTGAGCAATGAGCAATGCAGAATGAATAACTCTACAAGGCAGTATTTTTTAATTAAAATGCAAAAAGCTTGTCACACATTGGTCGACTTTGATTCGGTTGACGATAAACCAAAAAAAAAGAGAAAAAAAAACAGACGTAAAAGTGTGGATACTCCCATACACATGTCAAACGAAATAGTAGTATTTGGAGCAATAAATGGCGGCAGCATGCGTGAATGGCTTTTCAATTTGTTTTTACGTTTCTTTTTCGGTATCAGTGGGGAAAACCCGCCTTTCTTCCAAGTACTTTTGTAAAAGAAGATTTGCACCACTTTCTTTGTGCCTCTGCATTTCCTTATTGAAAACCTGCCTGCCTGCTGATTTCTTATCTCTTATCACCATGGAGATGCAGATGAAACTCAAATACACGGCAAAGGATTCTAAACGCAATATTTATTTCATCTGTTGCCAAAAGCCGCATGCAGTGGTTGTATATCCTTTTTCCAGTCCAAATCTATTGCTGCAGGGATAGAAGGACGGAGAAGCGGAAAGGCCGCAACTTTGCGAGCTTTCCTTTACTAACGGCAAAAAGGAAGCACAAATGAGCGAATTGTGAATCAACTCAAAATTGCATTGAGTAAAAATGTGCACGGCATTGATGTGTGTGAGTCTATGGGAGAGAATACCAGTGCCCGACCGAAACTGTGTGTTTAAACGAAACCGAATGCGGCAATTATTATCGGTTGAGTGCTGAGGAACTTCACTTTTGTTTTGTCAAATGACCTTAACAAATGCCGAGAATTCATGGAGGACATAATTGGATATACCAGAATTATATATCCTTTACGACCCGGTCCATTATTCAGCTTTCATTGAACATCGAAACTAAGGTCCAGGGAACCCATTTAAGCCTTTAAGTAGAACTATCAAAGACTCTATTGATTGGCTTTGAACTTGCGTAGCACCGGTTTAGGGTGGTTTAGCTAAATCATAGCCCGGTCATATGATTCACTGACGAAGTAGTTACAAGTGGAAAAAAAATGGATCAGAGACGTTTGAAGACTCTCTAAACTCAACCAAATTGCAACTGCCTCTATCCGGCGACAACTTATGCGTTAAGCACTTCGTTCCTTTCCTTATATTAGCCACCATATTCTCTTACAACTGCTAGGCGAATAAAGAAGGACGAACAATTCGGTTCGCCACTAGAATATTCTCAACCACATGCTGTGAGAATAATAGCCCAGATTGTCACTGCTATACCCCCAACAGTCAGTTATATTGCACGCTGTTTATAAACGCAGGACATAGCACTCATAAAAGGGAATATGTATGTATGTATGTATGTTTGTTCACACTTGTTTACTTGGCTGTGTACTTGCTCGCAGGAAAAGTGCATATGAAAATCCAAGATAAGACAAATAGAGCTGAGTATTTTATTAAAAGCAGCCAAAGGAAGCAAAGCAAAATTTGCCAGCGAGTTATGTATGCACAGTGGGATTTCGGGTAGAACTAGCAACTGAAAATAAAGCTCGGCAGGATTTTTGTAGCTTGAAACAAAATTTGTATTACAGAACACATTTAAATGAAAATTTGGTAAGCCTACTATTGGGGTAAAATGCTCTTGCTTTTTTAGAAAAACGAATTTGTGAAAGTCTTGGACTTACTGGATCCATTTAAGAGGCGTTGTGTTGTGAGCAAAGGAAATTTTCCACATAGCTAGAGATCAATCAAAGCTTAGGATACAAGCCTGCATACATGAAAACTTATATTTACATTTATACACACAAATCTACAGAAGTGGAATGCGCATTACGACCACTGTGCACTGAGCTTG